AATGGGGTTCGGATTGAAATGGGAGTTGTGCGATGGAGGATGGATGGTTGTGTTTCCTCTTTATACTCTTCCACTCGGGCGGCACTCATTGATCCGTGGAGCACCTTGTACAAGTTCACAAATGAGTCGCAGATGGTTCTTCGAGTGAGAGGCATCTCAATCCACTGAGTCAGCTGACTCTTCATTCCCAATGTTATTCATTCAATTTCAGATATTTGTAACAGAAATTGAAAAAATGTGTAACACTCGTGTGTTGACAAGATCTATTTGTTCTGGATTCCCATTTAAAATTAGCCCGAAGAAATGTGCACAGGGCAGAGCAATACAATAGCAGCCTGCGGAACAATATAAATGCGCTCTTTACTTTCACTTGCCTTTCAATTTTAACCTTGTTGAAAAGGTGAAGGTGAAGTGTCAGCACTAAGAAGGCATGGAGAAAATGACTGTCAAATTTATTTGAGAAATTTCTTCTCAATTTAGTCCATCGAGAATGTTGTAAATGTATTTATCAAGGCAAGTAAAAGACATCATGCATGCATAGTTTGCTTTGCCTATTGATTACAGTACACTTGGCTTTTATTCTCCTTACAACATACTGCTTCTCAGCAGTTACAACGATCACGATCTAATATGATAGTTTGTGTTAACTGTTGATTATGCAAAATCTGAACTGTACTAAAAAGGAATGCATAAACCAAGAAACAGAACGCAAACGTAAACGACAACCGCTCCGGTAAATGAAAGTTCAATCCCCAGCAGGTTCATTTTTTTTCGAATGAATTCTCTTAAAATAAAATGAAGTTCAGAAAGAATGGATGTCCAGAAAACAAGAAATATACAGAACGGTAGAAAGAGGTCAAATAACAAGAACAAAAATTGTCATAAAAATGCTTGTTACATTCAGAATGATGGTGCTTTCTTCGTAAAATAAAATTTTCACTGCAATTATTAATTCTTCGGATGGTGAGATTTTTTTAATTCAAAAACAACGCTATGATAAATAATTATTGATGCGAACATATTTCGATCCTCCTCCCATCCAATTTTTAGAATTAGAAAAATGATGCTTTTAGTACTGTCTGTACCAATCGAATCACAATTCTGCCTTTCCTGCCACTTCTTAAACTATCCTATTCGAACTATCAAATGGACATTGCACCTTTCAGAGATTTTTGAATGGTCCGTGATTCGATGGAATATATGCATCAGCAGTATTGAAGAGAGACTTTTCTAGTCGATGTACGCGGTACGAGCTGAACTCTATGAGAATCAATAAGTAAAATTAAATTGGATTTTTAAATTTGTTTGCATGTCAATATTAGTTCGTTGTATAAATATTCGTGGATTTTTCAGACATGAAAATATGCATTTGATTGATAACTATCAACGGATAGTTTTTGAAACTGCTAGTCATAAACTTAAAGTTGTGAATTAAAAGAAAGAGTTTGAAGATCAACGTCATGTGTCGCTTCAGCAACGACCTTTCTGATATTCAGTCATTTCTATTATTTGTTTATTAACTTAAATGAGTGCGCCAACTTGCGATGATTCAGCTGCTCCTGCTCCGTTTGAACCAAAAAATTTAGCCAATCTTTGTAAAAAGGAAACGATGAAACGTTTGGAAAACTACATGAAATATAAGTGCTAATCGATTTTTTTACTGCTAAACAAAATGACAACTCTAATTTTTCATTTCATTTAAAGTTGACCTTTATCTATCCATAACTTCATGAAAATGAGACAATTAAATTTCTTCTCTGCAACACTTAGTATTGAGAAATTTATTTGTCATTTTGCCTTTAACCACTCCAAACAATTTCCTATCAATTAATTTCAAAATATCACATGCAAATACAAATACATTATTTTTAAATAGATCTGACTGCAATCACTTCCTTCATTGAGATCAATCGAGTTTCACTTAAACTGATTGTAATGATATTTCCTTCTAAATTATCTTTCAAAATGTGAAATGACTTAAGGTCATTCCATGGATTACTCTTCGTCGGTGTTACACACCAAAGAGCCTTCTTTCTCCTTTTTACAATTACCTATCAAAAACAAAATAAACGTTACAGTCTTTCATCCGTCGTTTCTATAAACAGGAAATTGCCATGCTTCTCTTCCTGGCGGATATGTCACGCATAGACGAACGACAAATAGCTCAATTATAATACTTTTTCACCCAGCCACGCCGAAAACACATGATATGGACAAAATTCATGAGTAGGCCTTGTGATGAATTAAGTACGGTGATGACACTGCTAATTTACCTGTCTGATAATTATATGATAACAATAACAGCAATGATAATCACAATAATAATAATAATAATAATAATGAATATATCTTACAATATAGGCTATGAATCAAAAATATCTGATGGCTAATTTTCGCGTAGAAGAATACACGTCCTTCGCATCTTCACGTGATGGAAATAGCTTCTAAAAAGATATTCCAGTGGTAACGTACGTAATTCTGCGGGATGGAAGGATAAGTGCGTCTCTCTGCTTGCTTTCTTGGAGTAATAATGGTAAGAGATTGTCCGACTTGTAGTGGACAGAGGCTGAACCTAATGGACAGAGCCTTGGAGAAATCATTTTGTTTCCAATGATATTGTTTTGGTTGACGGGGAGTAATCATTTTTGTCGCGATTCCGTCATTCGTTTAATCTTCGCGGTGTATTATGTCGAGAGAATTTTCGAGACTCCCTTCAGTTTGTCATCTTTTCTTTCTCACCAATGTTCGGATGTGTAATGCAAGGTGAGACTGTATTTACTCTTAACTTCCTGTAGGCCAATTTTGGAGAATTTCGACTGCCTGTTACTTTCCAACATCATGAGAGACTATGGATTATCACCATTTGAAGGATGTATTTACTTGTGTTTCTCACAATTTCAGATTTGAATACTTCATGTAATTCAGTTACTGCCACAAAAGAGTGATAATAGCATTCAAAAGTTCCTTCTTTCAGATGTTCATTCAAACTTTGTTTTTCCGTCCATTCATTATCTTTCATAAATTATATTTTTATTTCATCGCATCGACTGTGACAGTTTTAATAGATGGGAAAAGGCATTGCTAGTCAAGACCGCGAGTTCAATCATTTGATTGTACTTTTGTGATTTCTGATAAGGAAAGTTGTGTGACTTAAATATCGGTTCACTGTTTCGTTCAGTTTGAAGACTTTTGGTCTATATAGTTGAATATGAACTGATTGGTGTTATTAGAGACGACAAGTAATATCCAGTGGTATTCATTTTCGTGGACTTTTCTAGAGTTAAATTTTTTCTTTTCACTTCTGTCGGCATTTTGAAACAAAATTCTTGAGAATTTATTTTTATGGAAGAAAGCATTAAAACAATGACCGGCATAACCGGCTTTGCAATAAGCATTGTTTTGGCAGAATACAGTTCCGAAAAAGGTAAAGTTGCATTATCATCTGACTGAAAATGTCTAAGTTATGAAATTCCCAATGACAGTTTGCTTTTAATCGTTGCCTAACCTCGTTATCATTAGCGTTTCATTGCTTTTCATTCTTGTCACTGCTTGCTATCTTTTTAGCCACCGCCTACATAGTTAATTAACTTTTTACCACTGAATCTCTTTCTTCCTCTTCCTAACGTTTCTTACTTTTGCAATTTCATTAATCATTTTATTTCCTTGTTAGATTTGTATTGGAATTTTTGCTGGTTGAGATTATAATTTTGTTTGTTGCTAAATGACAGTTCACCACGATTTGCAAGAACAAAGCACATCAGACAGGGGTCGATTATGTTAGTTCCGTTTCAAAATATATTCTGAGATCTATTTAGTAAATGGGAAAATGTGCGGACTGGTGGAACCAAAGATTGAGTTGGATTCCCGAGCGAGTGGGATTGCAGAGAGGTCGACTTTCAGTCTTTCATGTATCCGTCCGTCGCACGCAATTTGCATGTCTCTGTGCGTGCTGCTTGAAAAAAGCATATTTTATTCCCCATTGGACCATTCAGTAACGTTTCACCAACTGCTGTTGGTTGTCATGGAAGAAATGGAAGGATGAGGCCGAGCATTCTCAATGATTGCTTCTCATTAAAAGATCATTTAATTGCTTGATATATAATATTTTGTCATTATAATTAAATGGCTCTTCCTGGTTGGGCATCGATCGCGTGATAATATGGCCATGCTAAAAGCATGGTCATATTTAATGCCCGATGGATTTTCTTAATTAGTCATGAGTAAATTGAAAACAAATCGATTATTGTTAGCAATTGTCACTTACAGAACAATGAAAGGGTGAAGGATCGCCATGGACAGTTCCGCTTGCATTAATAGCATCAGTATTTTTGGGAGACATGCATATGAGTTCTGTCAGCAGTTCATCAACACAAAGCACGAGAAGCAACATTTCAGAGTTCAGCTGAGAGCCACTGCTTACGCAATGTATTTCATCGAGAGAAGCCTTCCCTT